CATTTGTCTTGCACAGCATGAATTTATAATTGGGCGCAGACACTATAAAATGTTACATACGTTTCCCTGCGAAGAGCGTTAAAATACCTTTTAAGTCTCTCTCTCTACCCATAAGCCGCAGGGATCGTCGGAGTCGTCGTTGTTATTGTTGTTATTGTTGTTGTTGTAAAACGCGAGCGGTCGGTGTCGCGTGGCACCCATGAGTGCGACTCGTTAATCTCGACGCAACGGAGATGAACTCGATCACGCATCCTTCCCGTTTCGCGCGTATTGCGTGCTCAGTGTCTTCGCCAGCTGCGATTTGGTTTGCGCGATCGAGGGCGGCCACGTTTGGCCAGCCGAGGTCTCTCAGCTTTTCACACGAGCTTAATTCTCCCATTCTTACCAGTTACTTCCAGAAGCCACAACGAAATTTGGATAACTTTCAAATTTACCATCTACGAAATCATTCCGCATGTCTGCATGTTCAGCATTCTACTAATCTGATCTGAAAGGTGTCTCCTTAAGAAGAAAAAAAAAAAGAGACTTAAATATTTTTTCTATATAACTCTATCTAACTATGTCAGAACGAGAGATTTAAGCAAACGCGAACAAAATGATGCGTGAAAAATACTTCTCTTATTTGCCATAACTGCATAATATTATTTAGTATAGAGATAAGATAAAATTACGAACTCTTCTTCTACGCGGCATATCTTTTTATCCGACTATAAAAATAGTGATCATATTTAGTTTACTTAAAACAATTGCCAAAAGTAGATAATCCTTAATTGGCATGGCAAGAACACTGTACTCGATACTGCCAATTTACAATTTTAAATTAAACGACCAGATAAATTGCGGACACTTATTGTTAAAACGAGCAAGTAAAAACAATTATTTGTTATTCGGTATTCGGCATTCGGCAACTAAGATAAGAGAAAGAAACGGGAGAATGCCGTACCAGTCGAGGAATAATGCAATACGTGTTCTCGAGGACAGCGCATAGAACATTTGAGGAAATATCAGCCTACGTACATTAAGAATTATCTTCTTTTTTTTTTTTTTAATGCGAGACTCCGAATGAGATATGGCCGGCGACGGAAGGCCAGACGGCGATATGTATTTTCGTTACATTACAGTTACACATCCGTGATACGAGGATCCGAGATTCGCGCGCGCGAACGCGGCCGCCCTCGGCCGGGACCACGCCGGACTCTCTTTCCTTTTTCTAAAAAGGATCACCTAACTGTACGTAAAACTCCTGCCGTGTACCCTAAGTGCGAGAATCCACATATGTTGCGTGTCATGTGTCTTTTGTGTGTAGTGTGTGTGCGTGCGCGCGAACGCGGTGTGTGTGTGTGTGTGTGTATGTGTGTGCGCGCGCGCGCGTGCGCGCGCGCGTGTGTGTGTGTGTGTGGGGGGGTGTGTATACTATTGGTATAATTTAACAATCAAAAAACCGCTACCTGCAAAATTGAAAAGCTGCGTTTTTCTCCCGGTATTAGCGCCGCGCCGCTGCGCCATTGTTTCGCCGCAGTGAATTAACTACGAGTCGTCTGTGTGTGTGTGTGTGTGTGTGTGTGTGTGTGTGTTTTTTAATTGTTACATCGAAAAGTATTCGGTATCGGTTACAGCCTAGAATACTGAGCAAAGAACGAATACATCAGCGATCGGTGATCCATGAACGATCTCGAAGCGCCATTCCCGTGAACTCGATTCCTCTCTCCCTCTCTCTCCTCCTTTCTCTCTTTTATCGAGTGTGTAGTGTGTAAAAATCCGATGTGAAGTCTCGAGCCCGTAAGTAAAGCCCGTCGAAGCTGTCGATCATTTGCCATTTTCCATCAGTATTTTTTTTTTTTTTTTTTTTTTACATCGATTCGTGACACCAATGGCGGAGATAGAGTCGCGGGAGGACGAGAAAAATGAACAGGGAGAAAGAGAAAAAGAGAGAGACCGGCATTTATACGCGTTTAGGAGCAGTAGCGACTCGAAATGCTTCGTAAAAAATTTATAGAATATATATATATACATCTATGTTCCTTTCTGTATATGTATATATATGTAGAAGTATATATTATTGCGTAGGCATTATGTCGTCGGTGTTATTTTTTTCTTCGTTTTCCTTTCCGTCGCGCTTGCGTTTCTTCCGCTGTTATACAATAATAATAAGAAGAATAAGAAGAATAACAATAATAATAATAATAATGAATACTAATAATACTAATAATAGCGATAACAATAATTATTACGATAATGACAATCATAAGAAATACGAATCTCGATAATCGCCTATAATGTCATCAACCAGCGCGACATCTTCTCTCGTTCGTCGCATTCTGTCTGTATAAAGGACATGACTACTTTATACGGCGGCTGAATCGGGAAAAGTCGTTTTCTTCATGTTTCTCCGATGTCCCGGCTTAAATAGCTACGTGATGAATATCGCGAAACTGTATCTTCTTGTAAGTACCGTTACCTCGTTAATATTGTAGTCTAACGTCGTCTAAAAAGCAAGAATAAAAAAAAAAGTAGGTGCTTTCACAGTCGTCTTAATTAATCCGTTAAAAATCGAAACTGCTCACGCACTCGGGTTTACTTTTTCAAAGCAAAATTCCGCGGTGAATAGATCGATCGCGCTAAAACCTCGCACTTTTTGTCCAGCTTAAGCGCCGAGATGCCAGCGGGAAATCGCGAATCGCAGGGTCCAACTATCTGCATGCTGAAGCAGCGAAAAACAAATGTTTTTTTTTTTCTCAACACGCTCGTAATCGTCGTTTAATCATTTATGTAATATGTTTGAAGAGCTAAATATTTCTTCGTCGGCAATCTAATTTCGCGTGACGAGACATCTCAATCAGGATATTTCGTAATCCCCGATTCTTCGCGATCGTCATCCGCTAAGATCTCCGCGATTTTATCGCGCGACGTATTATGTACTTTCTATGCGTTCTTCTTTCGTCCTTAATTATATCCCTCTTATTACAGCGCACAAGGTATCTCTCTTAACGCGTAAATATATATAAATAATTATTCGCGATCTCGGTGAATAAAATAATTGGCGTCTAATTGGCGAGATACGGTATACTTTTTTTCGTTCGCTGCTCTTCGACGCGTAAAAAAATCGATCTGAAGATACGAATATCGAATTGTTCGAACCGCTTTGTCGGAACTCGGAAGAGGCGAGCCGAACGAAGAGTCTTCGAAAAGCCTAAATCGTACGATTTTTAATAAGCGATTCTTTAAATTCGAACTAAAGAAACGGCGTTAGAGCAACTTCTGCGCTTATAAAATTATTTTTTAGAGCACGTAAAATTGAAGAAGGCATGTTTTATTTCATCTTCTTTAAAAAAAAAATGACAAATTTCTTTGATTTAGTCTTATCTTAATCTTATCGTAATTTTTCGACAATCTTTTTAAAATTTTTCAGACTTTATCGATATAAATAATGTAAATTATAATAATAGAAATTAATATGTCAAAATATTCTTTTTGTGATCTGGGTGAAAAATTTAAAATATTATTTCGACTTGTACAAGTAACTTCAACCATGTTTCACTCTTCATCTTGTCGTTAACCTATTGATCTCTTCAATCACAATACAAATAAATTCTCAGCAATATTACACTAAACTTTTGATGCTTCCTTCAATGACACGCGCTTCTAAATTGATCTGTGGGTATCATGTTACATTCCCTGTAATTCGGCTAGAAAATTTGACTTCAAGGCAAGCATGGTTATGATATCGGTCGGAGCGAGATTTCCTATGGAAGGTTTCGAACGGCTTCGGTCGCACTCTCCCGACGTTCTCGCGACATCGCGGCTTTCCGCGTCTCGTCGATCGGGACGAGTCGATCCTCACACGGCGACGATTACGGTTTTCTAACTGACAGAACGATTTCCTCCGCGTACGGCGCTTTCCCTTAACTACCATGGTCCTGATCAAGCTCGTCCAGCGACTCGAGCCTGGCGATCGGCGCCTCGTTTATCGTGAACTCCCACGATATGTCTTCGCTAGTCTGCCTCGAGGACTCCTGCTGTCGAGTCCCGCTCGCCTGCTGCCCTCTGCTACCACCCTCGTGTTGTCTGCCCTCCGATCGCCCCTGTTGAACCCCTGACATGGACTCTGTGCCGTTGCCGCCGCGATGATTCGACGACGATTCCTTGCGCGAATCTCCGCTGCGCGGACGCTGGCCGCCGCCCCGATCCTCCGGCACCACGCTGCTCCAGGGATCCTCGCCCTCCGGCTCCGAGCGTTTATTGAACGAGCTGTATCTGCCGTAAGGCACGCTTTTGTCAACGGCGTGATAGCGGCGTCCCGGTCGACATCGAGCGCGGCCACTAAACGTGGACGGGACGGAAGATCGAGAAATCGGAGATCATCCACGTTTAGCGGCCGACGCCAACAGTGGCATGTTTTCCAAGATTTTTAAATAGAGTCGAAACTCGCGACAAGACCAAGTCTCGCGAATTCGAAACCCGCGGAAACATGTCACTGCCAATTCCGCGATTTCACCTTTCTTCACAAGTTAGGTCAAAATCATCCCGATTTTCGCGATCTCGTTTTCGAAATCTCTGTTCGCCAAAGAGTTCTTCACCAAATTACCTACCCACTACGATATTCGCCCCTCCTGAAGGCGGCGGGCTGACTGTGCCAGGCGTGAGCCTGATGGACCTGCTGCTGCGTGCTGGTCGGCACCGCCAGGTCGACCGGCTGGCTCTGCGATCTCGTGGGTCCAGTTCGACCGTTCAGCGCCGTCTGCAACGCCGTGGCGAGCGCGGACGTGTCCGACGTGACGGTCAGCCTCGACGTCCCCGACGACGTGGAGGTCGGCTCCCTCACCGGGGGTCTGTCGCAGAGGGAAGAATAAAGTCGTATCGGTAAATCGACATGCGGCCGGCCAACTTTTTTTTTCTCAAGAGAATCGCTAAGGACAGCCGAGCGAGATATATACTTGAAGCGTACGTGATTATATACAGTGGGATTGTATATATATATATATATATGTATATATATATATTCGACACAGGCCTCTAATCTTCTAAGTTTGATCCGGAGCAGTGTCACGGGTTCCACTTCCGCTTCTGGGGCTACTGGCCGCGCAGTGGAATCGACATCGACCATTCGCTTCGGCTATTGTAATCGATCAAGATTATGGATGAAGAACGAGAAATGAAAGAATGAACTATCTAAACGTGCATGAGACATGATTCATCCTACCGAAAGATCGGCTTCCGTCAACGTCGGCTAACTTCGATTAGATTCTAATTGATCACTCCAAGAAGGATAAAAGAAATCAATCAAGATTAAAGTTAACCGAGATTGGCGAGATGCTGAACAAAGTATTTTTTTCAACAGGTTCGAAAAATTACGAGCTAATCGAGTTAGTTGAAGGCTAATGACAAACGTGAAGAAAAAAAAATATATATATATACGTCAGCGAGATTGGATAGAAGAGAAAAGTAAAGAAAATACGTGCAAATCAGAGAGAAACATTTTCTAGGGAAATATTACTTTTATCTTAACGTAATGCTTTCTTACTTTTCTTGCATTTCTAAATACTTTTTCTAAAATACTGAATGGGCGACGTGATTTACAAGTGAAAAAAAGCTTTCGAGGCGTGCGACGTTAGAGATGATAATCTACAGAAAAAGAATGCCAAAAGTATACGGTTCTAAGGATTATAAAATCCCATAATAGCACGATGTCTCTAGAAGAAGATTTACGTAATTGATTTATATAAGTTTTGATGAGGTCAGTCAGTCATTATCGGCGATCCAATTATCAATTTTCTAGGCAGTTTATGATTATGTTCGTGATCAAAGGGAAAATTTAGAATTTCTTCGTGATGGATATGTCAACGCCGCGTCGTCGTTGTCGTCCGTGCCCGACTTCCGTGACACTGCTCGCAAAGAGTTTCAAAGAAGAATTACGTGATGGTGGTCACCTTCGGAACTTGTCCAACTTTTCCAAAATAAAAGACGCCGAAATCAAATGCAACTGATCCAGGGATTTCGAAAGAAGGCTTTTCAAGAATAACAAAATATCGATTACTTCTTGCGATTCAGCTTTCGATAGTTCTTTTTTTTTTTTTTTTTTTTTCTTGGAATCTACCGCACATCGCAAAACCCTCTCTGTCGTATCCGAACGAGCGTCGTCGCTGTCGCGTACATGACAGTGACGTCACGCGAAGCTAACTCCAAGTCTCAACGAGAGAGGTTCGCGCGATCCGACTAATTAGAGAACCGCGCGGGGTCTCATTTATCTCGTTTATCTCGTTCCCACCTGAACAAGCCGTGCGACGTGCTGGGTTGGATCTTCCCGTTTCCGTTGCCCGTCGGGACCGTCGGCGGCTGCGGCTCGCTCGCCGATCTCTGGACTAAGGCGGGCGCGCGGCTGCTCTGCCTGGTGCCGGCCGGCGCGGTCCCCGGCATCATCTCGATGCTGGAGCTCTCCCTGGACGAGTTGAGCGTCTGCTGGAGCAGGCTCAGGATCAGCCTGATGTCGCCGGCCATCGAATGCTCCAACGAGGACACCTGCCGCGACAACTGGTCGATCCTGGCGTTGAGCTCCTCCACCGGCCGACCGGGGCCGCTCTGAAAGTCACCTGGAAGGGACAAATGTCCTCATCTCGCGGCGATTCAGGTCTCACGATCGAGATTCGAACAGCGCGATATCCGGTGATACGCAATGATAGTACAAAAATGACGACGGATACTGTCGTATCGGTGTGAGTGAGACGATAGCAAGAAGTGAACACAAGTTCGCGTAAGTTACTGACTGAGATTAAGAGAAATGGGGCCCCTACCATGGGAATGAGGATGCTGCGGGGGCGATGGTGTGGTGTAGTGGCTCGACGTTGCCGAAGTGGGATGAACGACGTTTTGACTGAGGCAACTCTCGCCGGCGGCGGAACTCCGGCGCGCTGGTTTCGTCAGCGGCGTGGTCACTAGGTTTTAAACGCCACCGGTGAGTAACCACGAGTACGAGGGGCGATGTAAAAAAAAGTTGAGTGCTACTTATCGCATATAGCGGGTGCATACCGCGCTGGATGAGAATATTCTTTACTACGGCGTGCGTCGCGAGAGCAAGAATTAATCCAAGTGAGGGAGTGAAAGTCGCAGGTTTTCTTCGTAGGATTCTCAGGCAAGCGGCGTACAGGAGCTCGGCGGGTTGGGGATGATTTTTTTTTTTTAGGTGCAATGAGATCGGGCCGATCTACTTCGGGAACAATTCGGAACAATACGGGATACTTACTTTGCTTCGCGAGATAATCATGACTGGTAAGCGGCTGCAGATGAATCTTGTGCTGACGTAGATCCGGTATGCTGCGCTTGAGATGGGTTAGCATGCCTGAACAACCAGGTTTCAAGGTTGTT